CCACCTCGTCTTCGCCTTCGCCTTCAGCAAGCAGCGCAATGAGTATGTTGCGCAAGAGTGCGAGCGGCGATCCACGCGCGTCCAGCGCCTTCTCGGCTTCAGCCGGCGAGAGTTCAAAGGCATTGAGGATTCTTCGACCGATCTGCTGTGGGAGCGCCAGCAGGGCTCCCAGCGTCGACGCTGATGGCTGCTGTTGCTCGACATGGCTGCCACCCGGATCCTTCGACCTCGCCTTGGCCCTCATCCCGGCTGATCTGGGCTCGCGAGCAGACTGTCCATTCCCCACACCGTGATCAACCACCACCCAAGGGCTCTCCGTCTCGTCAGCCGACGCCCGGTGCCCAGCTCCGTCGCCGTCGCTCCTCCTCGACCGTCTGCCTGCTCCGCTCCTCGAGGAGGACCAGCCATGAGCCGGCGAGTAGAGCCCTGGGGGCGGAGCCACCACCTCGCGGTGCAGCACGCATGCTACACACGAGACAAAGGCCTCTGTCGCACCACTGGACATATTTCTCCTTCCTGCCGTGAGGTGGTGCGCCGTGGTTGCCTTTGCCGCATGGACAGGTCAAAGTGTGACCGTCGACACGCTGGCTTGGGTGATGGCACACGCAGACCGTTCGAGATCATCACACTCATGTACGACCGGTCGACATCGGCTCAACATCTGCAAAAAACAAAGTGTCATTTAGTAAAGTGATCAAGCCCGAGCTGCGACTCACAAATCGTCCATCTCCTTGTCGTTGCCGGCATCGTGGTGGACGTCGCCGATGGTGAACTGAAGCACAACGCACGCAACTGCAAAGCCTGCCACGAGCAGGCTGACAATGACGTATGGCGCCGCGCCCCACTCTTTCGCCTTCATCCCGAGGAAGCAGTTGATCATCGCAAGGAGCGTGAGCCCGCGGCCCACCCACCAGTGGATCTTGTCCGGGAACCACGGCGTCCCGCTCCGGTCCGGCGACCACATCAGGTTCGAGAGCTCGCCGAGAACAGGCTCCAGGAACGCTACAAGCACGACAGCAAGTCCGATGAGCTTGTGGCTCTTGTTCTCGCCCTTAAAGTCCTCGTTGGTGAACCAGATCGCCATCCCAAACGCCGCAAACGTCGCCAGCACCGCCATCCACTGTGTGAACCGGTGGACACGGAACCACCACACTCCGAGCTTGTCCTTGAGGAATCGCGCCACCACAATGCCCACAGGAATGAGCACCACCCACGAGATGATCATCATCCACGCGTGCGCCTTGATGAGCTTCTCGCGAAGGTCGTCCTTGGACACCTTGCCGGTGAAAAAGTTGATCTTGATCGCAGCCGTCGACGTTGTGGCGTGCTTGCTCACCCCCGACGTCGCCGACCCGGCTCCGCCGCCTGGCGTCGCGCTGTCGGAAATCGCCCAGACAATGTTGATGTCGGCGTCGTTGATGACTACATCGCCGTTGTCGCCAGTGTCGAGCGCCCGCACAAACTCGACCGTCATCACTCCACCAGTCTCTGACCCGCTCACGCCGAGCACGTCCTGCTTGGCATCCGCCGGCGGCGCCGACTTGCCGCTGGGATTCTGCCGATCCGAGACCACGTACCCACCCGATGCTGCCGACGACGCAAACGCCACGTACGAGTCGCCCGGGCCCATGACTCCGGCGCTCTGGGTAAAGCACATTGCCACGTATCCGGCCGAGCCAGACTTGGAGAGCGCAAACGAGACCCGGTTGTTGACGGTGTCGACCTTGAATCGCATCGTGAACGGGCCGTCCGAAAAGGTAAATGCATCCGTGAGGTCGATCTGAGCCGTGGCGGCCGGTGGCGGCGGCGGCGGCGGCGGCGGACAGACGGCGGTGGCCGTAAAGTTGAGCGTCGTGGTTCCGCGCGCCGTGTGGTAATCGCCGTCGACCGGCGGATTCGAAGGATTAGTGTCCGAGTTGAATGCCCATGCCACAAGGTTGTTGCCCGCCACAATGTCGCGGTCCTGCCCGTCGCCGGTCACCAGGTTGCGCGTGAACTTGGCCTGCAGCAGGCCGCCCGAGTTTTCAACCGTCACGCCGGTGTAGTCGTTCGTGGAATCGATCGAGACCACGCCCGATCCAGCTCCGCGGTACGTGTCGAGCACCATCTGGTTGGTCCCGTCGAGATAGCCAAACGCAAAGTCACCGTTGGCCATCGATGTGGCGCCTGGCACAAAGCCAAAGCCGAGCCACCCGGTTGCGGTCGGGAAAGACATCCCGAGCGTGACGGCCGTGTCCGACCCGGTGATCGGCTGCCAGTACACACGCATACCCTGGGTCCCCACCACAGCACATGACAGGCCGTCGAGCAGCGCCGGTGGCGGCGGCGGCGGTGGCGACGGAGGCGCAGGGCACGATGATGCCACCGAAAAGTCGAGGTTGAACCGCGCCCGCGCCGCATGTCCACCGTACGATCCAGTCGTCGTAGGTGTGCCACCAGTGCCCACCGCCACCACCACTGAGTTGATCCCGGTCGCCAACCACACGTTGTCGTTGCCGTCGCCCGTGTTGAGCACCCGATCAAACTCAGCCGTCAGCACTCCGCCCACATTCTTGACCGCCACAGCTGTGTTGTCGTTGGTGCCATCCGCCGTCGGTCGGACTGACCCCGACGACATTCCGTCAACAACCGCCCCACCGCCGGTCATCATGCCGACCTGGGTGTCGATCCCGCTCATCAACGGGCTCCCGCCGACACCAAAACCAACCCATCCGTCCACCTCAGCCTCCATCGCCATCTTGATCGACGTCGAAGCGCCGGTCAGCGTGCTATCCGACAGTCGACCAGCAAGCGTGAGTCCCCACCCCTCCCCTCCCGCTGTACCGACCCATAAAAAAAGGAGACACCTCAAAACCTCCCTCAATCTCGACATCCACAAAAAAAAAGAGGCAGCTCCCGCCACAAGGGCTCGACGGCTGACGACATGACGAGCACGCGCATGGCGAGAGGCCAACTAGGCGAACCGTGCACGCTAGCCCTCGACTCTATGTCTCGTAACGTACTCCCAATACAGCCTGTAGTTGTAGCTCGCTCCAATCTCGGTAACCACCCTGCATGACGAGTACGTCCGCGTAGGCGTGCCTATCTCCCCGCCATGCGCGCCCCTCGCCGCCGCATTGTGAGTGCATGAGTTCGCTTCCTCGGCGCCACCGCATGCAAGCACCTGTAGCAACCACTGCGCGCCGCCTCTACCTCTTTTATTCATCCAACAGAGACTGTACACACTCTCATTGACACCGCTTTCGTGGCCGTACCGCTTGCAATTGCCAGGATAGCCACAACAAGAGAAAGCGTTGCTGTCACTCGCATGCTCTGCCTGTTGTGGGGTGAAGTGGCAGCAAAGTGCGCAGGCAAAGGTTGGCCAACCAAAAAAAAACGGATGCCACAGATGCGAGCAACCACATTTGTCGCCTCCTGTCGACATGCACTGAGCTTTGGCCACATCATGTCTCTTCTGCAAGTGTTCTCGAGAACAGGAAGACATATACAGAGCTTTTTCTCACATCTCCAGCTTGGTCTCGCTATGCGATGCCCGATCGTAGAGACGAGAGGCCTGTCCTTGTCCCACAAACACACCTCTGTCGTCTCTTTCTGTCCTCTTCATCTCGTCATGGCTGCGCCATGCCTGCACGACCTCGCTACAGAGCTAGCTCATCCATGCCATCGCGTACGAGACAGACCTGCTCTCGGATCTCGATGTAGTCGCGCTCGCCTCGACCTGCTCGCGCCTCACGATTCAACTGCTCGGTGACAAGCACGGCCGCAACCAAGCCCGCACGCTGACCAGACTTGCGCTGCGCCCGCCGCGGTTGGTGGCGCGCCGCATCAATAGCCGTAGCATGCTCATTGTCTGCGAATCCGTGCAACCCGGCCGCTGTTTGGGATGTCTTCCGCCACGCCCTGCTGCCCACGACTTTTGCGCGGAATGTCTGGTGCCTGCTGGTCTACAGCTTCGTCGCCCATGGCGCTCTTGGCCTGCTGGCTGCCTGCCGTCAGACTCACAGCGACTTTGGCCGACATCTACGCCACATCTTCAACGAGGCATACCGTGGCGGACACGTCGCCGCGGTAGAGGTTGTCTTCGACCACTGGAACCAGACTTATCCGAATACGCCGATGGCCATGGACGATGACTCGTTTAGGCGCATCGTCGACTATCTCGGACACGCCGACATCGTCGTTGTCTTGCTCGAGTCTCATGTCGTGAACATCCTCGCCGACTAATCAAGACCCATCGCACGTCACCCGCTAATCGCGTTTTGTATGTCGTCATGAACAATCTCGTCGTTCTCGGTGGCCGTAGTCGTCGGCTTGGACTTGCCACCGCCGACGCCGCCACCGCCGCTGCTATCGCGGTGGACGTCGCCGATGGTGAACTGAAGCACAACGCACGCAACTGCAAAGCCTGCCATGAGCAGGCTGACAATGACGTATGGCGCCGCGCCCCACTCTTTCGCCTTCATCCCGAGGAAGCAGTTGATCATCGCAAGGAGCGTGAGCCCGCGGCCCACCCACCAGTGGATCTTGTCCGGCAACCACGGCGTCCCGCTCCGGTCCGGCGACCACATCAGGTTCGAGAGCTCACACAGCAAGTCCGATGAGTCTGTTATTCTTGCGCCCGAACAATGTAGTATATATTTGACCACTCACAGCACAGTGAGCGCAACCAGGTTGTCTGTTGCGTCCTTCGTGTAGTCGTCGCTCTTGTTGTGATGAACAGCGCCGACGGTAAACTCAAAGACAATGTAGACGACGACGACAAGGAAGATGCCGAACCCGACGGCAACATACGTCGACAAAGGCCAATCCTTGGCCTGCATGCCAAAGAAGCAGTTGGCCATCGCAAGGAGCGTGAGCCCGCGGCCCACCCACCAGTGGATCTTGTCCGGGAACCACGGCGTCCCGCTCCGGTCCGGCGACCACATCAGGTTCGAGAGCTCGCCGAGAACAGGCTCCAGGAACGCTACAAGCACGACAGCAAGTCCGATGAGCTTGTGGCTCTTGTTCTCGCCCTTAAAGTCCTCGTTGGTGAACCAGATCGCCATCCCAAACGCCGCAAACGTCGCCAGCACCGCCATCCACTGTGTGAACCGGTGGACACGGAACCACCACACTCCGAGCTTGTCCTTGAGGAATCGCGCCACCACAATGCCCACAGGAATGAGCACCACCCACGAGATGATCATCATCCACGCGTGCGCCTTGATGAGCTTCTCGCGAAGGTCGTCCTTGGACACCTTGCCGGTGAAAAAGTTGATCTTGATCGCAGCCGTCGACGTCGTGGAGTGCCTGCTCACCCCCGACGTCGCCGACCCGGCTCCGCCGCCTGGCGTCGCGCTGTCGGAAATCGCCCAGACAATGTTGATGTCGGCGTCGCTGATGACTACATCGCCGTTGTCGCCAGTGTCGAGCGCCCGCACAAACTCGACCGTCATCACTCCGCCAGTCTCTGACCCGCTCACGCCGAGCACGTCCTGCTTGGCATCCGCCGGCGGCGCCGACTTGCCGCTGGGATTCTGCCGATCCGAGACCACGTACCCACCCGATGCTGCCGACGACGCAAACGCCACGTACGAGTCGCCCGGGCCCATGACTCCGGCGCTCTCGGTGAAACAGATGGCCACGTATCCGGCCGAGCCGGACTTGGAGAGCGCAAACGAGACCTGGTTGTTGACGGTGTCGACCTTGAATCGCATCGTGAACGGACCGTCCGAAAAGGTAAATGCAGAGCTGAGGTCGATGGCCCCTGCCCCGCCGCCAGAAGTGGGTGGCGGCGGCGGCGAGGTAGGCGGCGGCGGTGGTGACGGCACGCACGGTGTCGAGGTCGTAAAGTCGATGTTCATCGCACCGCGCGCCGTGTGGTAATCGCCGTTGGCCGGCGGATTCGAAGGATTAGTGTCCGAGTTGAATGCCCATGCCACAAGGTTGTTGCCCGCCACAATGTCGCGGTCCTGCCCGTCGCCGGTCACCAGATTGCGCGTGAACTTGGCCTGCAGCAGGCCGCCCGAGTTTTCAACCGTCACGCCGGTGTAGTCGTTCGTGGAATCGATCGAGACCACGCCCGATCCAGCTCCGCGGTACGTGTCAAGCACTCTCGGCGTCGTTCCGTCCAGATACGCAAACGCAAAGTCGCCGTTGGCCATCGACCTCGCGTTGGGAACAAGACCCATGCTCACCCAGCCAGCCGCCGCCGGGACCGAGACTCCGAGTGTGATGGATGTGTCGGATCCTGTGATCGGCTGCCAGGCAACCTTCATGCCATCCAATCCAACGTCCTGGCACGAGAATCCACTAAAGAACGGGGGCGGCGGAGGAGGCGGTGACGGCAGAGGTGGGGATGGC